CTTTAAGAAGTAGACATCATCATGGTTTTTGAGATTTCCTTACTAGAAAAGCGATGAGCGAGTAATTGTGTAAAATCTTATTATGATTGAAGATTATAGTTGCATACTGCTTCTGTAATACCCGTTATAGATTGGATTGAGGCGGTTTGGATGAGCTTTTTTTTCCTCTAAAAATTGCTTTTCTTTCTTAAAAGAAAGCACTTCTTATTTTTAGTTTGTTTGGATGTCTGTTTTTAAAAAAAACAGAAGTAACAAAAAAAATCAAAATTAACTTTTTTCATAAGCTAAAAGTTTTAACTTCTAAAAAAAGCAGAAGTCAAAAGCCAAATATCTTTTTTCACAAATTAAATATTTTTATAAAAATATAAATAGCTTTATTTTTTATAAAAAACACTTCTAAAATAAAAAAGAGATAAAAATTACATTTTAAAAAAGCGGAAACAAACGGGCTGCTAATTATGAATATACTCGCGGTTACATTTTTGAAAGTTACATTTTTTAAAAGGGGAAACAAAGCTAATATCTGAAATATGTTATGATTTAGATATACTGACGGTTATCTAATTATGAATTGTTCATTTTAAGATGTGATCAATAACTTTTTTCCTTTCTTGTTAAGTAGGATGTTCGCGGTCTAGATTGAATCGGTTTTGAAAGTAAAAATCATCTGATCTAATCCCTTCAGTTTAATCATATAATCATCCATTCGGTTTGAATTTTTTTTCAAATCCGATTCGATCCAATCCAATTTTATTCAGTTTGGATTGGATCGATTTTTGGTTTTATTGAAAAGCCTAAGATTTGTTACTTCGGATAAAAAAATTATAATATAGTTGCCTGAGATACGAAGTAACCCAAATTTTCATCCTATAGAGGAATTTATAATATAGTTTCCTGAGATACGACCCTTCAGTTTAATCATATAATCATCCATTCAGTTTGAATTTTTTTTCAAATCCGATCCGATCCAATCCAATTTTATTCGGTTTGGATTGGATCGGTTTTCGGTTTTTTTGAAAAGCCTAATACTTGTTACTTTCGATAAAAAATTTATAATATAGTTGTCTGAGATACGAAGTAACTCAAATTTGCATCATCCTATAGGGGAATTTATAATATAGTTACCTGAGATACGAATTAACTCGAATTTTCATCCTATAGAGGAGCTGTTGTACAACAATAACCTACGTAATAAAAATATATTATGTATCTTAAAAAAAAGCATAACATAGGGGAATGATTTTGAATTTTGTTATATGATTTTTTGGCTATGATTGGAGAAAGGAAGATGGTAAGGTTGGGGAATCATTGGATCGGTTTTCACACATTTATCCAAAAATGATACAATCCAATTAAATTTAGCGGGTCTTTTTTTGGTTTTCGATTAATTCGATTTTCAGTTCGATCGTTTGAATCGATTGATGAACACACTTATTGCTAAGCATGTAATACGGTTGATTGTCATCACGGCGTTACCACTACCAGTGATATTACATGGTGTCAATTATTATTATTATTCATCTAACCATTTGTGACCATTATTTAAGTTTCCTTTGGAGCAATGCGCCACATGTTAGCAGAGGTCCTAATACAAGTAAATATAATTGGACTGAATATAATTGTTTACAATTATGATGATCATGATTCTATGACAGATTTGTCAGTTAAGGGAAATAAAAAGGTAGTGAAAATTTCCCTTATGTGATGCTATATAAATAAATAAAACCAAGAGATGAATCGAGAATCATATATAATGTGGTTATTATAATCTAAGCCATCTATCTCCATTAATGTATTATCTGCCCTAGAAAGGCCTTGCTTCCTCACTGCTTAAAGCTTTTGACCATTCTACTCTCTCAGTTCTATTCGATCCTTTTCCTGAACACTCGTATTCCCCAAACATCGCAGTCCTGTAAAACCACAAGATTACACAATAATCTGACATTTGTCATTGAAGAAAAATAATAAATTATGCCATTTATCAATGGGATAAGTTATTCTACCTACCATTTTTTCTGCCTACTTTTGCCTACCACTCTCCAACACCGTTAGATCAGAATATCAAGAAGAGAAAAAAAAATAAATGTAATCTATATCAGAATCTCGAGAAGAGAGAGAAAAATAAATGTTAGTTAAGATTTTAATCTAATGGTGTTTTAGAGTGGTAGGGTAAGTAGAATAATCTACCCCTTTATCAATTTACTTTTTAAATCTTTATTTTTGTTGTAAGAGTAAATACCCTTTTTAGTCCTCAGCAAATTTCACGATGCCCGCTTTAGTCCCTAGCAAATAAAAAGACTCATAGTGGTCCCTAAGAAATTCAAAATGGACCCATTTTAGTCCTTTTAGGGACTAATATGGGTCTTTTTTGAATTTGTGAATGACCACGATTTCAACTAAATGGGTCCATTTTGAATTTCTTAGGGATCACGATGGGCATTTTTATTTTCTAGGGACTGAAACGGACATCGTGAAATTTTTTGAGGACCAAAAAGGGTATTTACTCTTGTTGTAATTATTGTATGGAAACTTTCTACTAGGGGTGGCAATACAGGTTTTGACCCGCGGGTTGACCCGTGACACGACCCGTCAAAACGCGTGTCGTGTCAACCCACGGGTCATTACGGGTTGTGTACGGGTTGTGTATGACGCCTTTTTATTTACTCTTGAAGAGTGGACAATGCACCCTCACACAAGGGCTTGAAGAGTGGACAATGCAACAGGCTCAGCCTACCTGTGCTAAGAAACTCCACAAGAGAAAGTGGGGGACGGCGAGGCTCTGATACCATGTAAAGAACCTTGGATACACCACTCCAAAAGCTAGCTCAAAGGGTGGAAGTGCTCAAGGCCTTATAAAGGCCACATTAGTTGCACATACAACCAATGTGGGACTATATATCTCAACAAGCGAGTCGTGTCAGGGTTCGTGTTTTGTTACCCGTTTACAAAACGGATCGTGTCAGGGTCGTGCCAAATAATGTACGGGTCAAAAAACGTGGCGTGTCGTGTCGTGTCGGTTCCCTACTTTCTACTAAGGAATTTTAGTATGATACCTCTATCTAGATGGAATATCCCAATCGCTCCATCCAATGGGGTTAATGATATCATCCATGACACAGTATGAATATATTGTCGTTGCATATTCCCCCCAAGCTCTCCCAAGGAAGATACTACCGGTTCCATTATTAAATGAAGCGTTAAGTAGCTGATTGCAATAAATAAGCGAGCGTTATGGTGATATGAGTATGACTGTTCTAATCCTGGTAAGGCTTGCATGTTATTATTATGAAATATAAAGAGGGAGACTTTCATAATAGAAGTAAGGAATGGAAATTAAACAAATATGAGTTTGTTTTTGGGTTCGCTTTTTGTCATGTCACATGACAAGACTATTTTTCAGCACTCACAAATCAAGTGTGGGTCCCACGCTTAAAAAAAAAGTCAAACCAAAATCAGGATACGGCATCGTATCCTTAAGATACGTTGTCGGATCCTTGTTGCATGAATGAACAGTGTCATTCCTGCGACATGATTCTTATATTTCCCTTTGTTTTTTAGTTTAATTGAAGGAAGATAAGAGACATTGTCTCTGATTGAAACTTATTTTTTTTTAGCAAAAACATTAAATGAATGAGATTCTACCAAACGCAGTGGAAAGAGTGTTGGGTAACTGAGAATGTTTTATTTTAAAAGTAATCACATAGAAGAGGAGATGATTGGTGACATAGTAGTTTAGAAAGGATGAACTTGACAACAAGAAGAGCTGTTGTAGATATATGGGGTGCAGAGTTGGGTGCAACTGATAAACCAAATTAACTGTCACCACTTTTTCATATTTTTTTCCGCACAAGATTAACTTCACATGTTTAAATTAAGGGAAATATAGCTATGTTGTTACAGGAAAAAAAATAAAATTGCAACAACACAGAAAATTAAGATATGTCGACATATCCTAACTTTTTTTTTTTTAAGAAAGAGCGGATCCCATTTTTTTATGTCTGCTCCAAAAAATTTCATTTGTAGTGAAAGCAGAAAAAACCCTTAAATTAATATTATGTATAATTACTTTGTTGCAACATATATATTACTGATGGGGTTTTGGAATTATATTGATTGACTGGTTTTCGTCCAACATTATGTAGATACACAATTACGAGCTAGATTTTGATCCATCCTGATAACTTATTTGCATTGAGCTCAAATTTGGACAGATAAATCAAAATAGGCTTTCAAGCAAAATCTGTTACTTTGTCATGACATCAACAATTTTGGGTTTTTTAATAAGTTATTCCATGTTTTTGAGCTTTTCAATAATTTTCAATTATCTCTTTAATTTTATTTAAGTGTGCATTGATTGTGCATTATCTTCTTTGATTGTAAATAATTTCCTTTGTTTCTGTTTAGATTTTATTTTCATTTTATTTTTTTTGCCTATTTAAGACATGGAAAACCTTGAAGATTATAGTTGCATACTGCTTCTGTAATACCCGTTATAGAGTGGATTTAATTGCTTGCTTTTAAACTATCTTGTTTAGTCCAAACAATGCTAATATCTGAAATCATGATTTGGATATACTGACGGTTATCTAATTATGAATTGATCATTTTAAGATGTGATCGATAACTTTTTGCATGTAATACAGTTGATTGTCATGGCGTTACCACTACCAGTGATCGTTACCACTACCAGTGATATGGCGTTACTACTACCAGTGATATTACTTGGTGTCAATTATTATCATTATTCATCTAACCATTTGTGACCGTTATTTAAGTTTCCTTTGGAGTAATGCTCCATATGTTAGCAGAGGTCCTAATACAAGTAAATACAATTGGACTGAATATAATTGTTTACAATTATGATGATTATGATTCTATGACAGCTTTGTTAGTTAAGGGAAATAAAAAGGCAGTGAAAATTTCCCTTCTGTGATGCTATATAAATAAAATAAATAAAGGAAACCCAAGAGATGAATCGAGAATCATATATAATGTGGTTATCATAATCTAAGCCATCTATCTCCATTAATGTAGTCTCTGCCCAGGAAAGGCCTTGCTTCCTCGCTGCTTAAAGCTTTTGACCATTCTACCCTCTCAGTTCTATTCGATCCTTTTCCTGAACACTCGTATTCCCCAAACATCGCAGTACTATAAAACCACAAACAGGTTAGGTTACACAATAATCTCAGGTGTCATTTAAGAAAAATAATAAATGATGCCATATATTCATTTACTTTTTAAATATTTTCTTTTAATTTGTTTATAAATTATTGTATACCAAAATGTCAGTTTTTGGCAAAAAAAATTTACCCAAATGCCAAGCGATTATCATATTGCCACCTAAGCATATGTTCGATAGCTAATAATTTTATGACACGTGACACACTTTCGCAAGAAAAAGCTGACGTGTCATAATTCACTATCAAATTTGGTCTGCAATGTGACCACGTGTCACGAAATCATTGGCCACAAAATTCGCTACCCGTGGTAGCGAATTATAACACGTGACACTCTGATTTTTTGGTGTGTCATTTGAATGAAAAATTTGGCAAAAAGTGACATTTTGGTTAGCAACTTTCTTACTAAAAGAATGTTAGTATGATACCTCTGTCTAGATGGAATGTCCCAATCGCTCCATCCAATGGGGTTAATGATATCGTCCATGACACAGTATGAATATATTGTCGTTGCATATTCCCCCCAAGCTCTCCCAAGGAAGATACTACCGGTTCCATTAATTGTGCAACCAACAAATGAAAATCCGGTATCTTCATCTGCTGAATCCCTGTGATGAGCTGCAATTGCTCCCCAAAACCCAGCCACAGAGTATAGTAAACACTCCTGGTGGCAAACACAAAGACCAAAGTGTTAGAAAATAATAATCAAGCAGCTTAGATATTAAAGGAAAAAAAATATTTTGCATAAACTATGTAAGGTATGTATATAAACTAGGACCATTTAGTGAGACCAGGACATGGGAGGGAGTATGTGAACTAATAGAAGCAATAACATTTGGAAAAACAAAACAAAACAAAAGCAGCAACTTATTACATGGAACAATGATTTTGCATTGCCACATATAAAGTCAACGGATCCTTGAATGTAACTTCGGTAGAAATAATGGGTTCCATTGTTATCTAGGAGAGTGTCCTGTTCCCCCACAAGCCTAACTCGGTAGAATACAACTTTATCCCCATCTACACGCAACGCTACTGCTTGGCGTTTATCTTCATCTTTACCTACCAAATTCTGAAAAACAAAACAAAACCCAAAACACAAACACATTTAGTTCTTCTAAATGTATCCAACTTATATTAGGTGCATTCTTAACATTGTCCAGAGAAGGTTTTAGTCTCATTTGGTGTGAAAGCTTGCACAAAGATACCCTTAACCCCCTCCTCCCTAAAAAAAAAAAAAAAAAAAGAGAGGGTAGGTTGCAATAAGTAGTTTGTTCTTACCTCAATAGTAAGAGTTGTTGCACAGAAGAAATCAGATTCTACCCATACAGTTGCTGTACTATCTGTTCCCATTTCTTGCCCATCTGAGCCTTTGTCTGAGGCCTTAGTACTATTTGTAATAATAGGTATGGCATTGGCAATGTCTGTTACATTTAGTGCATTGCCATTGGCCGTTACATTTAGTTCATTGCCATTGACTGTTATGTTAGGTTTACCTATAAATGAAATAAACGGCTTGCTTCTCGGCACGTGCACTCGTTCTCTGCATCATAAGTTGTGTAGAAGCTGTATATCATTTCTTATCCTAATTGTTGAAACATCTATTGACATCTAAATTGTAAATGAGACAGATGCATGTTATTTCTCTTACAAATATAGAAAATTTCAGTTGTAATTGTAAACCAAATGAGAATTACTCATACAAAATGCTTAAAAACCACATGAAAAAATATATATAAAATCTTATTTGATGAAAATAATTCCCAAACTGAATTCTTATTATACACCTGTAAGTTCCTGGATAAATATATATCTTCACTCTTTCTGTATTGTCTTCTGGAATCATATCAACAGCCCCTTGAACAGTTGGTGAATCTCCGTTACCACTTTGATCTACCACAATAACTCTACCACTAACAGCGGAGGAGAGACTGTGCTCATCCACTATGAAGTCATCCCATGTAATGAAGTTTCTAGTATTGCCACTAACACCTTGCACCGCCTGAAAACACACCAACAACAAAACTGGAAAAACCAAATGCAAAACTTGAAAAAATGATAACCTCATCTTATTAGCCATCCCTCCTCTGGAACACAACACTCGAGTTATGTGAGTTCCTCTCACACAAGTTAATGCTATAAAGGATCGTAAGAATAAATCAATATGTACGGGGGAGTTATCCAATCCTGGTCCCTGGAGGAAGGACTTCAATTTCATGAAGTGAGAGATAATAGTACTCAAAGAATGGGAATTCAAAGATGAAAATTGAGTTTATTTGAAGGGATTCCAGATCTACGTTTAAGAAGAAAATCATAAAATGAAACTGAACTAAATATTAATTAATTTCAGCAGAAAGAGTGATGTTGTTGAAGTTATAAAAGAACATAGCAACTAGAAGAGCGGTTATAGCTTCATAGGGCATACAAAAGCATTGGATGCAATAAAGATTCTCTTCTTTCTTTTTTTTCTATTTTTTTTTACGTTTACAATTTCTATTAATTAGTTAGGATTAAATATGATCCCAATGTACACTAGTGTTTAAGACTGGAATAGTAGTTGTAAATTGCAAGATTAATGGTAATTAATAAGAAAATCGACTTTGGGTAGCTATAGAGACATATAGTTGTATTTCAAAATTATTCCATATAATATTTATCCAAAAAAATACACGATTATAGCATTGTTTTTATTTTATTTTTAAGGGTCGTGTTAAAAGATTTCTTCGGTCAGTCAACGAAGATAAAAATGATGTTGTTTTGGAATGGAAACTAAAGTATTTTTGTAATTATAATATATTACAAGGTTATATTAATCTTTATCATTATAATTTTTTTAATTTTATAACCCCAAAATGGGCTTTTTTACCCTTATAACCTTTAATTAATAATTAATTACCAATTTGACCTTCATTTGAAACTAATTCGAAAATTTAACCCCTTCAGAAAACATAACACCAATCTGCCCCTGTTTGACCGTTGACTATGAAGCCTACCCGGGTACACCCCTCCCTACCCTGGTATTTTTTGAAAATTTTTATCTACCCGGGTAGAGAGGGGTGTACCCGGGTAGAGTTCTTGAATCTGGAAAAATGGTTGAATTACTTACCCGGGTAAGAAGGCTTGTACCCGGGTAAACATCCAGAGTAGCGTTTTTATATAAATGAAAAAAACTGTGACAGGCATAGTTCATGGACGATAGCAACGAAGATCCAAGGCTTCCTCGTCATGGCAGTCCTAATGAATTTGTTTCCATCAACCAATTAGCAGATCATTACTCTATCTCTATCTATCTATCTATAGTTTTACTTAGTTGTGACGTTGCAGAAAAATGGTGAGTTTTGCAGAATTGAGACTCTTATACTGGAAGCTGAATCCAAATGATGTTGAGGAAGATTAGAGAAACTAGGGGATACAATTACATGGTAATGTTGTATTAATTTTAATTTTTTGCGTTTTCATTAACCTGATAGATATATAAATCCGAGGAGAATATGAATTGGAAAAAGAAACTTTTTAGCATCTCGGTTATATAAAAACGCTACTCTGGATGTTTACCCGGGTACAACCCTTCTTACCCGGGTAACTAATTCAACCATTTTTCCAGATTCAAGAACTCTACTCGGGTACACCCCTCTCTACCCGGGTAGATAAAAAATTTCAAAAAATACCAGGGTAGGGAGGGGTGTACTCGGGTAGGCTTCATGGTCAACGGTCAAACAGGGGCAGATTGGTGTTATGTTTTCTGAAGGGGTTAAATTTTCGAATTAGTTTCAAATGAAGGTCAAATTGATAATTAATTATTAATTAAAGGTTATAAGGGTAAAAAAGTCCCCCAAAATGACAATATTTTGAGTTAACTGAAAATAACTTTATATCCAGTAACTAAAAAAATACTTTTCCCAATATTTAAATGTTCAGGAAGTTGGGGTTTCTCGACTGCGATGGAATTAAGAAATCTGGTCGATTTGACAGCACATAAGAACATTAAGGTGAGAATCTGTCCTGCATGTGGTGCATTGTTTCTTGATTATGCCATTTAGTTTGGTAGGATTAGGAAAGTAAATTGTTTGGTCAATTGGATATAAGGAACACAATAATCTCATTTCATAGTTCAGTTATGATCCGAATGATTGGTTTACGTTGCACTGTGTATATAGTGGCGCGGATCCAGAAAATTTTATTTATGTGTATATATTTAGTCCAAATATTTATTGGAGGGGATTTGAAGGCGGTGCTTGCGAAAAAAATTCTAAAACTTTCCATTAAAAAATAAAAGAATATAAATAAAAAGAAATTTATATCCCTTCATGTTATATGAATCAAATTTTTTGTCATGTTAAGAAAAAGACAAGACCAATTCATTGAATAATATGTCATCTCACTTTCTTTAATATTATATAACTTGACAAAAAATTTCGTTTATATAATATGAGGGATATAATCCTCAAACAACAAAAGAAAAGAAAATTTGAACTTAACATAAAAAAAATATAATCAACTTAATGATATAAAACCACTAAAATATACGAGCAATACAACCATTAAAATTGCTCCTTGAGTGATACTCTTAATTAATTAAAAAATATATCTCTTCTTTACTAAAAAAATATATAACCAAATGTATGTGTGCACCTACGCACATTGACAACCAAATACGTCAGCCACTGACTGTATACGAAATTACATAGCTGCTACAGATAAGTCAAAGATGAACAGAGCAAGGTTAGTGCTGGAACACCTACCAAAATGTCATTGTTCACCAAGTTTTTTATCAAAATGCCACGCGAACAGTGTTATTTTTCAATCTGCCACGGGGACAAGTTGGCTACCCGGTGTAGCGAACTCGGTTCGCTGACGTGTCACATTTCTAGTGGATAACAAATACCAAGTTAAAAAAAAAAGTTTGAAGTTCGCTATATTGAGTAGCGAACTTGGTGTCTACTAAAAACGTGACACGTTAGCAAATCGAGTTCGCTACACCAGGTAGCGAACTTGCTCCCATGACAGATTGAGAAATAACAATGTTCGCATGATATTTAGATAAAAAATTTAGTAAACAGTTACATTTTGATCGGTGTTCCGTTAGTGCTTAAGTGAGATGGTTGAGGTGAAGCAAATAAATACGAGAATAAAAACCGTTCTTTTTGAGTGTGACAATTAAAATCTCAGTGCCCCTAAAGAATAATGGTGAATTAGTGATTTGAACCCTCAATTTTGGCACAAGTGGTAATCGTGTGTTTGAGCTCTAGAAATAGAAAGCCGTTCTCTTTATAGGATCTCTCGCAGTGTTTGAATCGGATAAATAAATAAATTAGTTGAGGAGACTCATAAAAAAAAAAAAAAGTAAGTGTTCATTTTTAAGAAAAATAATTACTGTACACATGAGCTTCATTAAAAGTCTTCATTCATGGCATCACCTTTTTCACTATCATCCATCTCCCTTCTAGCCAGTATTTGATTAAACTAATTCACGTATACAGTGGAGGAGCCACATTTGGAATATGGAAGTGTCTTGGTTTTTAAGGACATGTTTGGAGCACTTGATAAAGAAGACAGGATATGATAACTTATTATATCTTACCTTTATCTCTTGTTTGGTGGGTCAATAAGATATGATTAGCTTATCCTATTGTCTCATTTTATCCTATCCAATACATGAATTCTTATCCTATGGGGGGAGCTGGGTTAGGATTCAACAGGATAGGATATCAATATTACATACTCAATATATTCTCACGCTACCCAATATATCCCCACGCTACCCAATATATTTGTATTTATTGCATTATATTTTGTTTTTTTTTCTCTTTTCTCCTTCTACATAATCTTATCAGATTGCTAATAAAGTGTTCATCAAACACAGGACATGATATAGGCTTATCAGTCCCATATCATATCCTACCATTATCAGTCCCATATCATATCCTATCATTATCCTATCCTGTCCACCAAACGAACCCTAAAATTAATTAATTTTGTTTTCAGTAACAATAACAAGGTAATTCATGATGCACTTGAGGTCAATGTTGTTAAACTCGACCCGATCATTGACTCAGTAGGTTACTGATTGCTGGTTCAACCAGTGAGTCGTTAGTTAAACCGCATGACTCATTAAATATGTATAAATCTATGATTTATATTAAAAAATTATAAATCAAAACATGTAGTGAGTACACACGCCTATTTATGTTATCTTTGTGCAAATATATTAGTTGATCCAGGCAAGGCAAATATATGTAAATTTATATTTTATACTTAAGAAGTCCACAATTATACTCAAATAGATGTTAAAAATTATTTTAGTTCCAAATATTTTAATATGAAAAGTAATAAATCACACAATATTATCTAACAAACAAAGAAATACATAATACTTCACCTAAAAAATAGTATAATTATACAAAATAAAAAAAATAGTATCTAATAAATAATTAAATTAAATTAAAAATTATTTACTTATAATTTAATATTTAGACTTAACTCAAAAAAGAATAAATAGGAAAAGAAAAAGCCTAATCTACCATCAGTTCAAAATAGGGGTGGCAATATGGGTTGAGCCCGGCAGGTCAACTCGCCAACCCGCCAACCCGCCAAAACGGGGCGGGATGGGTTGAGGTTTTTAACCCACCTCAACCCGCCCCGCCTAGAAGTAGGTCAAAACGGGTTCAACCCGTCGGGTTATAATTTTTTTTTTTTTTTACAATTAGGTAGTATTTCATTAGTTCTTAAAATTTTTGTGATATCCAATTTTTTTTTATCTTAGTACTTCCTAGAAAAAATAAAGAATAATACTTTTATTTATGACAAATATTATCTATATAAAATTCCTAAAAAATGTTTGACAAATATTAGTATGCATTTAAGACTGAGACCTAAAAAATATAGAAAAGTGTGAAATAAAATAAAATAATATTAAAAAAATTCATAAAATATAATTTATTTTTAAATTTTAATTAATTTTTTTTAATTGACGAGTTAGTGAGTTGACCTGCCAACCCATCCTAAAACGGAGTGGGTTCATTTTTGGAACTCATATTTTTTGGCAGGTCAACCCGCCCTGCCCCGTTTTTAACGGGTTGGTGGCAGAACAGAGCGGGTCAATCCAAATTGCCACCACTAGTTCAAAAGCAACAATCTATGACCCAATAAACAACCCGGCCCACATATTTGCATACGAAACCCCAAACCCTCATCCACATTCACCAAGAAATGTTTTATGTCTGCCGCATCTAAACTTGGAAAACGACTTTGAAAACCCGATAGAATACAATCTGATCTGACGAGAGTTCTTGCTGCAAAAATCCTTCTACCAAAAGCCATTGTTTCAAGATGATGACCTGGTCATCAACAACTTCTTCATCCTCAATAAATCATCATCTGGCTCAATCGTTGCCAATAGCTTGCAGATCTTGTTCCATCCTCCAAGCAGAGTTGTCGATTAATTACACAACCTAGTTTCATCAGATTTTCTTTATCTTAGGATCCGGTTCTTTCGGTTCAATGGTTTTTATAAAAAACCGGCGAGTCAATTGTTTCTTTTATTATACAAAAAATTATCCAGTTTTCATTTTTTTTTTAATTCCCCTTTATAGGCGAGAGGGTATTATGTGAGGCCGGGACATTTTCAACTTCAAACATTGTTATTAAATCCAAACTGAACCAACGATGGTTGGCTCAAGTGATAAGGTACTTGGATTCGCTTACTCAAAGACTCGAGTTCGAGACTTTGTGTATGCAGAAAATCCTCATTGGGAGACTCACCTGCCAATGCTAGGTAACCTACCCGGGTCAGACTGGACATAGTCGGGGCAAAATCCCGGAAACCAGTAGAGCAATCCAAAAAACATCCAAACCGAACCGGATCGACTCATCCTACTGATTCAACCGGAAACCAAATCTCTAATTGGATCTATTAACTGCCTGTAAATTGGGTTTGGCCGATTTTTAACTTAAACTGATTTTGTAATTTTTTGCAAAGGGTTTGGTGTTTGTCATTTAAAATTACATAAGTTATGTCATTTTAGGAGAGAGATAGACACAGAAAAACGGAAATAATGGAAGAAAAAAAGTGGGTGATTTTTTTAATTTAAAATTCAAATTTTATGTGTCTGTATCTCTCTTAAAATGACATAACTTTCTGTCATTTAAAATGACAAACTCTTTTCCCTTTTGTAATTTTTTGCAAAATATTGCAAGAGTTGCATCCATGAGGGGTCAACTCTTGACCCAATGATGAGATAACATTATTAATCGAGTATCCAAGTCAATCAGTTAAAAAAAATCAAAAATCAAAAATTATCTGGTGGTTATATAGATTTTTTAAGTTAATAAGTGCACATTTTAAAATAAAGTTCTCTTTCTCTATTTCGGTTCTTCATTTCAAAAAAAAGTACACAATTCAAAAAAAATTGATAAAAGTTTAAAAAAAAGTTTCTCAACTCTTGATTTTTAGCTTTTTTTCTTTATTATTAAAAAAAAATTCATCATAAGAATTTTTTCTCAAAACTTGTTTTACCCAAACGAGAAGATAAACTAAAAATAAGAGGATCGAAATAGATGTTAAGTAATATCAACTAATTTTTTTTTTTGTAAAAAAGGAAAGAAAAAGTTCAATCATCAAATCAGTTTTATTGATAATTAATTTGTTTCCTATTCATCATCGGGGAACGGATCCACTTACCACCAAAAAAGTTTATAACTTTTACAATCAATTTAATCACCGTTAATTTCCGTCAATCTAACGGTTATAATTTATTGAAAATTAATAACATTTATTGTGTCACATTTATTAATTTCCAGTAAATTATAACCGTTAGATTGATGGAAATCAACGGTGATTAAATTGGTTGTAAAAGTTGTAAACTTTTTTGGTGGTAAAGGGATCCTTCCCCTTCATCGAAATAAATCAAATATATATTTGACACCAGTTAAATTAGGAAAATAATATCGTATATATCTTGAATGTTATAGTTATTTATTAAATAAAACAATAATTACGAAATGATTTACAAAATAATATCTATTTTTAATTTTCTTGTGCGAAAATTAAAAGAACAAATTCAATAACAAAATCAATTTTATTGATATTTACCAAAAAAAAAATCAATTTTATTGATAATAAATTTAATATTTCTTTTGAAAATCATAAATTTAATATTTTTAAATCAGGAAAGATTCCGAAAATTAAATCATATCACAATCACGTAAAATTGATTAAATAAACAAGTTTCGCTGCATTATATCTATGAATTATTTGATGAGATTGGCAAATCTTTTTGAAATCAGGATTAACGAGATAGTTTTGCCACGTAAATCAATATCTATATAAACAGCAACTCTAAAGGAATATACAGAAAAGCTCTCTACGTTGAAAATGAGAAAGAAAAGTAGAGCTTTTTGCTTTTCTGGGTTCTTTTGTGGGAAGATGAAGGCTTCAATTGAAGAGGATAGTTGGAGGGTGGAAACAGAAGAAAACATCAACACAAAGAAGAAGAAGAGAAAAGTGAAGGAGGACACATTGAGTAACTTACCAGATGAAATTATCCTTCACATACTTTCTTTTTTGGAAGCAAAAACAGCAGTTCAAATGAGTGTTCTTAGCAAGCGATGGAGGTACCTTTGGACTTCCCTCCCCGTCCTTGATTTCCTTGGCTCGTCCTTCGATGATCCTGTCATTTTCAGGTGTTTCGTGCAGCATGTGTTGTCCCGCAAAGACGCTTCCAACAATCTCAACATGCTTAAACTTGTGTGCGATCATGATTCTTTCAATTTCTTTGATGATGATGATATAGACATGGTACATTCCATCATTGACTACGTTAAACCAACGAATATTCAGGCTCTGAGCATCCTTGCTGAATGTTTTATTGGGAATCTACCTCAACTCTCTGTTTGTCGCTCCCTCACCACCCTCCACCTGGCATACATAGCAACTGACAGTGCAATGTTTGATTCTGTTTCCCTACAACACTTGCATCTTTATACATGCGAGTTCGAGTATTGGGTCGAAGAGAATGATCCTTTCGGTGGTTGTCCCAATTTGAGGTGTCTCTCACTAATTGATTGTTCTTACATTGGCGATATTCAGAAGTTTCAAATCCATGCTCCTCAACTAACGAACTTGACCATATCCAATATGACAAAGAATTCAGACTTTGCAATTGAGCTTTTTACTCCAAAGCTTCAATCTTTTAGCTATAGTGACAACTATTATCTTTATGATTTTCTCATTAAGGGGAAGGGGAAACTTCCCTTTGTAGAGAGAGTCAATATTGATTTGGGCGATTTTCGGCTCCATGGAAAATTCCCCAAGGCCACTAATTTGTCTCTAAAGCTGAGTAAATTGTTTGAAGCGATGGAGAGTGCAGAGTTTGTATCCTTATCACCTCGTATCATTCAAGTAAGTATATTACTTTGTCAATCCAATACCAAAGCCATTGAATTAATTAATAGTTGATTGCTTATTGTACTTTGAACTAACTTCTTTGTCTGTGTTTGATTTTTCCTAGGTTCTGTCTATGGTTCCTCCTCTACTGTATGGTCGGTCTTCTCCTTTCACTAGATTGAAGAATTTTGATTTAATAAAGAAAAGAGGTTACCCTGTTACCATACCAACCAATGTCATGGCCTACTTATTTGGTGGATCCCCTGGATTTGATTGTGGAAGGCATGGAAAGGGTATTATATTAAACAAGGATTTGGATCCTCACCGTTCTTGAATAACAGGGCAGAAGAAGACTGAGAAATCATAACAAGACCTTCTTTAAATGTTTTTTATTGTAAGTTTTATTTTTTATAGAATCCAATGGCATTGATTATAATCCATGTAATCAACTCCACCTTCTGGGATAAGGCGACGTTGTTATTGTTTTATTAAGGCTCGATTTAATTTGTTAGTATGTCACATGTGTTGGGTTTTAGTATGCTCTTTTCACATGTGTTATGTGATTTACGAAAATATGGCACCTTTATTCTGTATCTGTTATTTATATTCATGTTGATTGTTTATAGTTCTTTTTCATAAAAGTTTAAATTTTAATCCGTAAAAATGCTTTAATCCATGGTTAGGGTATCTCGTGTATTTCTCGATTTGTAACAAGGAGGCTAATCCCATATGATTAGGTTTCCTCCTTGTTGTTTCTTTATTTATTTTCGGAATTTCTGTGTATTTTTTCAATATTTTGTAAAAGTTCAAGATCGAGAAACCGCGAGTAAGATGCGCAGTCAGAACTGTCGGAGACTTTTTAAGGACTTACCGATCTCGGAATGGGGCGATCTATATATGGTTGGAAAGAGGACAGAAAGACGAACGGAAAGGTGGGTAGAATGCCTCCATAGGAGCCTTCACGCTCCTCCACGCGCCTATACAAGCGGCTGAGAGTGGCCTCCACTCTCCGTCAAAGAATGGGAGAGTGAGGGAGCGTCCGACCACCTTTTTGGATGGTTCCGGCAGCGGTGCACTCGTCTCTATGTGGCAGTCCTTCCCCTGGGTTTTTGGCCTGATTTGGCTTCGGGTGGCGGTGCGACAGACCTGACGGCTAGGGTTCCTATTTCGCGTCCTAGGGTTTCTCGCCAAAGGATTGGGTCTTTGGGCTTTTGGGCCCATGAAAACCCTAAAGGGGCTTGAGACAGATACTATGGGCTAGGCGAAAGTCGAATTCCAAAGTTATAATATTTTATTTTATTTTCTTTAAAATAGGAAGGCCATGGATTAAAGTAATTAGGATTGATTATTTAATGCTTTTATTGAATGATATGAATTATATGTGCGATTAACATGATATTTGCGATAACATGTCATATAGGATAGGAAGGTGCCATATTGCTGCATGATCACATGTCATACGTGCATATTTACTATTATTTCATTATCGACTAGTATGATAGTTTATGCGCGTAGTTTTTGATTTTAAATATTTCGGTAAAATAAAATTATGATTATTATGATTTTGGAAACAAAATCTAGATTAATGGTTATATTAATTTCGAAAATTAATTTAATTATTATGATTTTGGTAAAATCTAGAATAATAAAATTGATTAATTTTGGAGTTTAAAATCAAGACAATTAGTAAGAAAATTTCCTAAGAGAATTCTTTTATTTTGCGAATAATTTGGGAGTCTACTAAAATGGTCATGTGTTAAACACACGCTGAATACCACAATCATGTATCATGATTGTGTGAAGCACACGCTGCCTATCATGACCGGATTTTAGGACCTTAATGATTTCAAAATTCAGATAAGCTAAGTGATGCACGTTCATCGGCGCTTTTGCTTACATAGTTTTTGAAATCAAACAAAGGATACTCTCAATTAAATAATTCTTGAAAATTGGAAAATATTGCTTATGTTGAATAGAAGGAGATTTAAATTAAGAAATTAATTTAACCTTCAAGCGCATTATAAGGACCATTAATAAAATAATCATGTGAAGTCTCGTCGAATAAGCATGATTGGATTTTATTAGATTGGACCTAAATAATTATGGGAGGAGATTTAAATTAAGAAATTAATTTAACCTCCAGGCGCATTGTGGGCCTATTAGATTGTAAATTGTATTACCAGTGTAAGGACTGATGTACAATAAATTGTGAATTAGATTATCAGAAAAAGGGCTGATACATTGATGTTTCAGTGGAATTATATTTTCAGTGAGAAGACTGATATACAATTAGAAAGGAAAGAGTATTATCAGTAAGAAGATTAATGTAATAAGTATATGGAAGTCCATTATGTGCTAAACAAGTCATGTTTAGACCAAAAATGATAAGTTTAGAAGTTTTATGATTTTGCGTGCAAACAGTGCACATTTTGTAATTCACAGGGCATTTCATTAAAAACGGTGTAGAAACTCAACTGTGAATTGTTATTACTGTTCCTTAGGGAATAAAAGTGAACTTAAATGAGCTCAGAGAAATAAAATGACGAATATAAGTTTGAGAACGAGAAGTCCTCTGGATTAATGCAGCCTTGAATATTCCGTAATGGAAATGGATTAGTATTTCTAAGGATTTTGTAGTAGCATTGTCGAGAACTCTGGCTGGTTTTGATTTTATATGAGTTGTGGAAGACAGATTGATTAAGTCTGCACATTTCATTCCAGTTAAGATGAGTTTGTCTATTGAGCAGTTGGCTCGAATATATGTGAAGGAGATTGTGAAACTTCATGGTGTTCCAGAAAGCGCAGAGCCGCCAAAAGAGTTATTATGATGTAAAACATAAATCCATTGAATTTTGTGAAGGGGATCATGTGTTTATTAGTTTGTCTCCGACTACAGGTGTTGGGTGTGCTCTTGGAGTGAGGGAGTTGAGTCCTAGGTTTATAGGGCCCTACCAGATAATAAAGAGGGTCGTACCTGTGGCGTATCAGCTTGCCTTACCTCCACAATTGTCAAATTTGCATAGTGATTTTCGCGTGAGTCAGCTTCATAGATATGTATCTGATGTGTCCCACATTGTCCAGCAGGACGAAATTGAGGTAAAGAAAGTTTTGAAGTTTGTTGTGGGACCACTGAAAGTTCTGGCTCGCGATGAGAAAGTATTGAGAAACAAGGTTATTCTCATGATCAAGGTACAAATGGAAGGTTTGACTCCTGAAGACGCTACTTGGGAGCGGGAGAATGATATTCTCCAGCGTTATCCTGAGTTTGACGTCATGTATGTGTTATGTCTTATGTTTGATTTTGTGGGCAAAATTCTTAAAAGGTGGAGTGAATATAATAACCCTCACTAGTAGTTGTGGATTTAATATTGAAGAAAAATTAAAAATAAAAGAAATAAAGTCTCTTTTGGTGAAAAAGGAGTTTAAATGACAGTTAAGGAATAAAAATGCGGGTAAGCAAAGTTACCCGAAAAGTGAAAGTAAAATTAGAAATATGACTAGAAAAATATTCTAGTTCATTGGGTAAAGTTTGGTATAGAATGAAAGTGTGTAAATAGATAAGCTGTTACCCAGTTAAAGTAACTTAAATTTACACACCGTAAAATCCTTATATTTCTTTCCTCTACGCGCGTTGACCCCGTCTTCTTTCTCCTCTGCTGGTCGATGTGCAGCCATGGAAGGGGAGGGTTTGAGTTCATTTCTTTTCTTTGATTTCTCACACAAACAACCACCAAAATACAAAGTGCCATACATAAAAGTTTAAGTAAAAATCGTGGTGAATCGATTCCACCCATTATTTTAGGCTGAAAGTGCTTGTGTGAAGAGTTCTCCTCTCCTCCCATTTCGTGGCACTATTCATCCAAGTGTAAAAGTGTGGTTTTTGAGTGAGCTTTGCTTGGGTCTTGTTCCTTAGACTTGGATAAGTGATTTGAGGTAAGAAATTCTCATTATAATGGTTTGATTTATATGATTTAAGTTTGGAATATTATGAGCATGTGTTATGAAAAATATTTGAGTTTGAAATTTGAATTGGTTGATGGATTATTGTTGTTTTAGTTGTGGTAATGTGAAATAAGCATGAATATATGATGAAAGTTTGAAAAAAAATCCTTTGTATTCCCTCCCCTAGGTTCAGCCATGTGAGAAAAATTAGGGTTTAATATTCAAAAAATAATTGGACACTTTGTGAAGGTTTATATGTATATGTAAGTTGTGAATTGAGTGGATTAATTGAATGATGCTTAGTGGTGTCTTATGTTTTGAGGCATAAATGGATGAATTAATGTGTAAAAAGGGTTTTATTACCTACGATGATTATGATAAACTTGAATTTGATGGACTAAAGCATTGGAATCATGAAGTTGGCATGATTTCCTTTATGTGCCTCTTAGCCATTTACAAAGGAAGTATGTTTTTATAGTGCTTGTTTGTACTAACGAGCACTTATATGGTCTAAGGGCTATATGATTAGATGTTTAAACTTTTGGTTGGGTTAGATAAAAAGAAAAATGAATAAGTTCCTTCCTTGGGCCTTATAGGTGTTTTTGGCCATTTTCAAAGGAGGCATATGTTCGGAGATATTGTTTCGCAAAGTGAGAACACTTTTATGCGTAAAATAAATTATATAGGTGGCTAAGTTTGGGTTTAGGCACTAGACAAAGAGAAATCTTATAGCTCCTTTGTAATGGGCCCTTTGTCTTAAATTGGGAAAAATAGGCTTTTAGGTGCTAAGAGGAGTAATGAGTGTTCTAAAGGCCTTTTGAGACTATCCTAAGATTAAGTAAATATGTGGAATTTTGTGTGGATTTGTTTAACAAAGAACCACTCACTCATGACTTAATATGATTAAGTAAAAAGAAAATAAACAATAAAGTGTGCGTCTTGTATATTTACATGGCATTATATCATTTTATTGAGTTTTGCGTTGAATTCCTTCTCTAGGTGCGCCTAGGGACTGTGAACGTTCGGATTCTCGTGGAGCAAGATAAGTAGATTGTTCTTCAAGTAAGCAAATTGTAAAGCTCCAAGAGGTAAGCTCTATGTTTATGGGGTTCGCTCCTACTTTGTGTTCCGCCATAGTGTACGTACTGTGGTCAGGTTGTATGATATGTATGAGATATATGATATAGATGCATTCATATAGAGCTACATGATGATGTTATATGATATGTTTTGATGTGTTTAATTTGTTATGTTTTGATGTGTTTACTTTGATATCTTTTGATGTGTTTGCTTTGATATGTTTCGATATGATTTCTGTAATGATTTCTGGACATTGATTTGTTTATGCACTGATGTCCGCTTGGGGTTTTCCCTTGGGACTGACTGTGTATATATCTGTTATATGTTGAGTTCCGCTTAGGGTCTTCCCTTGGGAACATGTGCACTGATTTCCGCTTGGGGTCCTCCCTTGTGATTGATTGTGTTCACTCTGTTATGTGATGATCTTTGGCCATTGATCCTATGTGCACTGATGTCTGCTTAGGGTTATCCCTCAGGACTGATAGTGTACATCTCTGATATGTTTTTGGTTCCGCTTGGGGTCCTCCCTCGGGAACATGTACGTTGATTTCTGCTTGGGGTCATCCCTTGAGAATGACTACGTACATCTCTGACATAATATGCTTTGTTCTAATGTGATTATTGTGATGATTTTTGTATATGATATTTGTTACGTGCGTTGATTTCCGCTTAGGGTCATCCCTTGGGAATGACTGTTATGCCTCTGATAAGATTTGTGTATATGCTTTGTTTAGCTATTATAACACCTCACCATTTTAAATCAAGTAATTAAAATATTAAGTGAGCAATCAAATGATGGATTAGTGAAAATCCTAAAGATTAAGCCAAAATACAAAGAAAGGGCAAAACGGTAATTAGCCAACACACAACCCTAGGAAGATAAAAATTGAGTAGAAGGTCTCAGATGGTAAAAATAACCCTGAAAATGGGTTCAGAACGAAAAATTGAGTGGACAGGCAAGTTTCAGAAAAATCAGTGAATAGTGTTTTTCGCGGGTAAAAATACCGCGGTACGATTGCACCGTAAAACGTGCCGATTGAGTTTTGAGCTCTAGGTTTCAAATATGAGTTATAAATGGTTTGTTGAGTTAGGAAATATGATTTTGATGAAATTTGATGGAATTGAGTCGTTTTGGGAAAAATTGATGAATAGTGATTTTCCGGTGTAAAAATACTGCGGTATAATTGTACCGATAAGCGTGAAAATTTTATCAGTATTTTTGGGGAAAAAATATGACATGAACAAGAAAAATACGTAGGTCATGAATTTATGTTTGAAATTAGTGATTTATTTAAAGTTAAATCGCGTGTGGGACCCACCTATGGCTTAAGTGACTTGAAAGTCACATTTTCATGACATTTTCTCTCTCCTCCCTCTCTTCTCTCCCGCGCGCATCAGCTCCCACCATGGCCAAGGATTTCTCAAGCTTTCTTTCTTCCATAACTTAATGGAAAACACCTCCTAAACACATTGGTACCACTCTTGAGCCTTGAAATCGTGTGTGTGAGGAGATCTTGCCCATTTTCAGCCGCGATTTTGAGGAGAAAATTTGTGTTCTTGAAGCTTCCAAGTGCTCCAATGGTGGAGTATAGTTAGGAGGAGTCTTATACCTTCCGTTTGGGTGAGTGCTCTTGCATTTTAAACGGTTGATGGTGATGATTTGATTTTGAAAACCTAAACTTTGATTTGATGAATAGTGATGTTAGAGAGCTCAATTTGAAAATGTGTATTAGATGATAATGTGTTAGAATGATGTATTAAAGCTAGAAATGCGATGAAATTTATTGGTGAAAATTGATGAATTTAACTTACAAAAATTTGATGATCATGATTTTGGACTTGTGAATTTTGGTGTTGAGACTTGTTTGATGAACTGTGGCATGATGGTATGATGATATGATAGGTTGTGTGAAGGTTGGAGTGATTAAAATTGAATGGAAATTCCTTGGAATGTCATAGGGCAAGATTCGAACCTTTGAGGAAAAATTGAGGAAATTGATGTGAAAAATGATTTGGATGATGATTTGTATAGTTATATGATACTTAGATGGGTTGTGTTGTGATTGGCAAGTGTTTGAATCAATGGGAAAAGTGAATTGTGTTTAGAGACCTAAATGTGCCCAAAGTGAAATATTTCGCAAAACGATGCGTAAATGTCGTAAAACGGAAAAACGACGATTAAACTAGCATCTAAACAACCTAAGGGAGTGTTATGAAATGAGAAAGAAAATTTAGAAAAATAAATCTCAAAATTACACTACATTGGCCGAACCATCAAGGGAGGATGGGGAGGATTTTTGTGATTTTGTGTTTTGATGCTATTTGACGCGTACTGATGGATGTACGTAATTGTATAGGTTGTCGTACGTTGACTTGAATCCCGAAACGTGAATCTGGGAGTTACCCTTGGTCTTGGACCAAGTGGATTGAGGTATGTATTTAGTTCAAGGCATGTATAATTGTAAATTAGCATGTATTGTTTGAATTATAAGAGATTGGGAATGTCCTCTGTGTAGGCATTCCGCTGTGTACCATGTTGTGGGATCAGCTGCTGCGGAGCTAGTGAGGAAATTACTTAAGGTAACCTCTTGGTACTGAGGCTTGTTTCCCATTTCTGTTCCACCTTGCCAGTTGATGGCAACGGTAGGAAGTGTGTATGAATAGTATAGAACACATGAGCATGTATGCATTTGCTATGGGTACTGCGGTACCGAGTCTCTGGCCAGTAGACAGTTTTATTAGCCTTCGGACATTTTCGGACTTTCGCTGGATAGGTCTCCAGGAGGGAGTTCCAGTTGACTGCGTGTCATGGTGTGTGATCCGGGTAGGAGCACACTAGGAATGTCTTTGGCGTTTTGGTTGGTTTGGGCATCATGGTTGTGGTTTCTGTGAACACACCTTGGATGATACCCATAGGCTTATATATGCCCAGGGCGTACGTGGAATTGGGGTTACCATCCCGTATCGTCGTAGTTTGTTTCTTTATATTCCCCATTTCTCTAAATCCCTTGCTTTATCCCGTTTTCAAAGTGGTTGTTTTATTCTATTGATATGCATCGAAGTGAACCATTGGGTGGAGTTTTCTCCAGAACCTCTTGGTTACTGAGATATATTCGTATATCTCACCCCGTCTCGGGGCATTTATTTCAGGAGGTAGCAGTGGAGCAGGAGCAGCGGGCAAGAGGTCCGCAGAGTGAGCAGAGGAGTGCTTCATATTTTGCATTTTGTTGGTCGTGTGGTCTAGGCTAGACTT